GAACAACGGCAGTGAGGAAGTGTGATTAAAAAGAGCATTTTGTAGGTCGGAACTACCAGCAGAACAATTTAATTCACACACACACACAATCTGATGGTGTGCTGGAAAACATACAAATTCCATTTTCAGGTTGATGTTTATTTGAAATCACCGTCGGTATTAATGCGTAAAATTGGAATCCATGGAAGTGGTTCGGAGTGCGTTGGCGCAATTAAGTACCACTGGTGATATATGTGGTTCTCCACAAAGTTGCACGATTATTCATAATTCTAATCGAAAGGCACTCAAAATACCCACATATAATTACACCAATTCAAATTTCTTCTTCCAGGAATCACAGTCATTCAACCAATCACAGCCCTTATGAATATCAGAGGAGTAAAAATAACTCGTATATACCAATTAATCCTAGGGGAAAATCACGCTTAAATTATTTCAAATATTTCAAAAAAATCCAATTTATCTCTAAGAATCTGTCGTATGAAATTTGGTGGATATTTGTGAATACGGCGGAATTTTTGTGATTATGAATGATATTTAAATGTATTTTAATGAAAAAAATCTCAAATATCTCCAAAATCCACAAAAAAATGATTTATTTATTCAAAATATTCGAAAATATGTCATACAATTGATGTTTATTTCAAATATCTAAATATCTCACAAGATTCAGGATCGTGATATTCCCCTAGAATTAATCAACGTCAATTTCCATTGATGAACTCCTCGATGATCAATTCTTTCATGGAAATATTTCCACTTTCTCATGAAGATTTATTATTGTATCGATGAAGGGCTATTCAATCAATAATGACAACGATTTGATATCTACTAATTGAAGTGGGCAGGCAAAAACAGTGAACGCCATTGACATATTTACCGAAGTTTTTTTTCATTTGAATATGACGAAAATGATGATATTTGTCTTCAATGTCCCAGTTATAAGTTGGAATATTCCCTGATGAGCTGGTTCATCGTCGCTCATCCATTCAAACGCACACAGGACAACAGTACGCCTTATCGGTTTGGAAATGCATCGATGGTCAGTGGCCATTTCAAATGTGTATACATACAACTCGATTTAATTAACTTCTCAAATGGTGCGAAATGCTCGAAATAATTCTGAGTTGGTTTGCATTTCGACTGTATTCCCGATGAATGATTTTGTGTATGCATATTCAGTGCAGTGATTCTAAAATTATACCGCATAAAATCGGAAATGCGTTTTGGTATTAGCTCAAACACACACACACAGCTCTCTATCGGTTTATCGGACTGTATATTTTCGATGCGACCATATCCGAATGACATTCATTACGCAAACACAGTGTTGCAAATTGGCAGTTGTGAGAAAGATAACACTGAATGCATAATCGACGAATCGAGAGAAACGTTTGGTTCAGTTTTGAACCAAGGGTCGAATTCGAAAGAGAGCGAAGAAAAAAAAATGGATAGTCGATCGAATAATATGACATCTGGGTAATATGGATGCATCTCGATGCAAGCCACGTTCACAGGATTGCCGCTATACGCATCATCAGTGCCGTGTAACAACCCTAGTCAATATTTCGTATAGCTCAGTTGGAACGAAGCGGCAGAGATATCGAGAGAAAGCGAATACAAGAGAATAAAATTCGATTTATCCGAACAGCGATTGGTGGTACAATTTGTGCGTGCTACACCATCGAATACGAGGGTGAATCACTCGAAACATCGAAAGTTATGAATAGTCATTTAATTTGCCTATAAATTTATCATGTGCGCTCATTTTGTTTACACACTCTGTTTGTATGCGTTTTTTGTGCCTCTCGCGCTCTCTTGTTGTCCTTGCGGTTTCGTTAAATTGAAATTTATGCGTGCGTCTGTGTGAGTGCACTTAATGATTTCACTCTGTTATATTCATTTTATATGTATCCAACATTTTTTCACAGTTGATTTGCCAGCCAATGCAAACGGTTATGTCGAACAACCGAAAAAAAAATTAAATTCGACTCGTGAAACAAAATAGTGGAGTTTTAAATTTCATTGATCTCTGGAGCGTTTTTTTTTGCTTTGGTTCGTTGTTGTCATTAGCATAAACAAGCATAAATGACGGGTAATTTATTTCCATAAACAAATACTAAATATGCATTTGCATTCGATGCACTCTCTCTCTTCGCTTCATCAATTCGATTCCCCTGGTGCAGTTTTGTGTGTCTCACACTCTCGTTTTTCTCTCTCTTCATTCGAATGTATCATGTTTTAATTATTGTTTTTTTTTTTTCGTTGTTGTATTTGCGTTTCAGACGTAATCAATTCTGGGAGAATTTTTTTCCCGCCACTCGAGAGAATTGCATCAGCCCACAGAATTTCGAGCGGGAATTGTGATTTTTTTTTAAATGTTTTGTCGTTGCATTCCGATATATGCAATGATAAATCATTCGTTTTTTTTCTTCGTCGCACAAATCGAAATAACAAATAATGACTTTTCACTAAAGACTGTAATTTTGCTTGTGCCACTGCAACGAAGGAGATTCCGTTCTCGTTTACCTAAACCATATATCGAGAGCATTTATCAAGAAGGCAAAACGCATGTTTTATAAAGCATTATTATTCTCAATCAACCCATTTCCGCTTCATTAGGCAAAACATGCATTTGATACATAAGCGTCTTGTGTACGCGCACGAGTGCCACACATTTTTCTTTCGCTTCGAAATCATTTATGCGCTCCAGAACAGATTCTCTTTCTGAATTTCGAGAAACTCATTCGCATTCTCACATTGTTCAATTCATCCCAACGGCTTGTTTTGCTTTCTTATTCTCCGCTTTTTATGTTTATGTTATGTTTTGCCGACGTATACGATTTCATTTTAATTAATTTCTTCGCTGATCACTTTATATTGTTTTTCATCCGGAATACGCGGTTTACTGCATTGTCTGAAGCATAAATTGAACCTACGCTTGGATTAATCCGTATCGTCGTTGTAAGCGTCCTGATTGTGAACAAACATGAAATTCACTTCTGCTAATTATCCTTGTGAAATGAAGCTGCCACCGAATTAGCATCACCGACGACGAAGTTTCGAAAAGTTGAACAACAAAACCGACATAAAATTGGTGAAAACAAAAATGTTACCCGAGAAACCGTTACATTTTTTTTTCAATTTAATAAAATGCGTCGAATGACATTTGATCTTTCGAATAATTTACACTTTTCGACGAAAGTAATCCGAAGTACAAAGACATTCACTAATGGCAATTATCCAATTGAATCGTGATTGTTTTGAATTATCAACTACACAACGAGCTCGAGATGTTTTTTCTTAAAGAATTCAATTTTGTTCGGATATAACGAACGTGGATTAAACCGGGCCATGAAGTGTTGTCGCCGAAGCGAGATTGAAAATGCTTAACATAAACAACGTCTACCAAAAGGCACTGTATACCAGAAAAATAAACAATTACGTTGAAATGTTTCATTTTTCCTGCAACCTATTTAAAACTTTGTCGATGGTACAATGTAAAGCAACCACACGGTTGTGGTTTTAACATTAAAATTCGTTGTGTTTTTTTTCATATTTCCTTTTGTTTGTATGTCTCAATAAGCCTTTCAACAAGCTTTGTTTGTCTCCGTTATGGTACTCTCCATTCACCTTAACAGTGTCTGTGTTGAAGATTAGAATGACGTAGAATAACTGAATCGAGAGAAAGAGCGAGAACGAGAGCGGGAGAAAGGAATGTTAAAATGCAAACAAAATCGATGAAATCAAAAAGGAAAAAGAGAAAAAGAGCCGGCAAATGAATGAAGTGACTGAACAATCGCCAAATCATAATTAGATTTCATCACGTGTTCGGTTTTTTTTATTCGTTCTCTGAAATTCCAGTCAATTAGATTGTTTCAACAAGGTATCCGGTCTGATTGTGGCACGAAACGGGGATGGGTTGTTTGGAATTTGCTTAGGATACGTGCGTTTCGTTCATCTATTTTTCGCTGGTTGTGCTGTGCCAAATATAGATCCAAACGGTTATCGTTCCAACACTCATTTTTCTATTAATCGTGCGTGCATACATTCAGAAATTTCGATTAGAGCACGTTTTGCCATATTAATTAATCCGGTGCATTAGCCAATATGTTTAATGGAATTCCACTTTATCAATTTGAAATCGCTCGATATAATTTGTAGCTCCGTTCGGAGGGAGAGAGGAATGAACACGTTAGTTACGTATGTGGAACGCTGCCTAATTGGAATCGTGTTTCGTGGACACAAATTGGAATTTGAAAAAAAAAAATTATTAAATTAATAAATATTATCTTTCAATTAATCCGTTATTATAACAATTATTTATTTAAACACGAGTTGAATTGAACGCGAGTCAATGGATTGAGTTATTTCGGATTTAATGGGATCTATTTGTGATAATCACATACAAATTCAATGAAAAAACAAAACAAAAATCCCTGTCAATTCATGAATTGGAAACTCACCGACAAAAAAAAAACATTTTGAACACAAATGCCAAGCGTTATTAATTCATATTAATTGTTTGATGGAAAATCACGTTGGCCAAAGTTCAATAATTCATATTTTGTCTACCGATACCGATGTTCTGTCGAAAATCATTTTCGAACAAAAGTGATAAAAGGTACTGCGCCGCGGTTTCCACTTCGACTTCATTTATTTATTTTGTCTCGTCACCGAACAAACAATACACTCCTTAATGGAATGTACAAATTTTCAATCAGCTTTTGTTCGTACCGTTGCCATCATCCAGCTCTCATTTTTGGGTTCGGTCTTTGTCACATTCCATTCGTGAAAAGGGGTTTTTGTCTTTTTCTCTCCTCTTTATTTTCGGCTCCGGTAAAATAACGAATATTTGATTTCATTTGCAAACAATTTTATCTGGAGGCAACTTGTTTGCTGTCGGTATCAACTTCATACTCATGATATTTTTGGTTCGAACGACATCATAACTATGAAAATTATAATTTATTCTTTCTTTTTCTTCCGCTTATTTTTAGACCAAATATAACGAGCCACTTGAAACGTTGAGCTGAAGCCATTGCACAGGGCAAAAAAGAGGATATCAGGTAACGATTTTGTGTAACTTTGGCAAATGAATGCCTCGCTTCGGAGCATTAGATACAAGTGGAGTGGCGTTATCACATTGAAAAATGATATGAATGATCGTGTTTCATTAATATCATCACATTCGCCCGTAATAAGCATATCTAATATATAAATGAATGAGTGAATCGTAACGCATATGAGATGAGACGCCAGTGAATGAAAATCTGATGCGTCAATTCATTTATCATGTTTTTTTCTCCTCTGCTGTTTCTTGTTCTTCTTGTTGTTATTCTCTGTTCCTGACGATTTGCCATATTCCAACTAACACACAGAGTGAACAATTCCCAGTTCGCAGTCAGCCGCTTCGTGATGTATATCCAAATGTTTGCTTAACAGTAAAATTGTTCGGATTATATGTTTTGTTTAGCGGAAATTCACCATAATTTCCATCCCGTCTTCGCATCTAAATTGTGTTTGCCGAAGAACGAAACTAAATAGAGAGAGAGAGAAAGAAAAAGCAGCCCGGTATGTGTGGCATACAGAGTAAATCTAATGTTCACATCAAGAGCAATAACAAAACCAAATGCGGAAAGAAATAATATTTCACCGGAACAATTTGAATATTTGAAACATTTCTCATGTTTGTTTCTATTCAAAAGAAAGTCGTGAGTGCATGCATTCCCTCTCCGCGCCCGGACGGTACAAAACTGCGCCGGGGAGTAGATAGAAATATAAAAAAGGAACGCAGCGGTGAAAGAGAATCATTTCAACACGTGCACGATTTGCATGTTATAACGTGACCCAGGTAGAGGGAAAACGTCAAAAATGGTTTGGCACTCTTTGGATGTTGAAAACGTTGTTGGCCAAATACCACCACCACCATGGGAATATATATTATATATATATATATATCAGAGCAAAAGCATTTCGTCATTTCATTCATTCATAAATTCATCTCTGAACAATGTGATAAAAACAGTGCCAAGGAACAAACACACAGACGCAGAAGTAGAGGCAAAAAAACATATTAAATGTCATAAAACAGCAAAGAACAATATCAAGTACATATTTTTAGCCCAAACTGCGGTAGACAGAAGCAAATAAAGAAGCGAAAACTGAAATAAGAGCCGAAAATCGCAAAAGTTGCGGGGGTGAAGACGTCAAAACTGATGTCACATCGCAATTTTTCCGCTCACATTCCTTCCTTTTTGTCTCTTCTCATCTGCTCCATGAATTTTTATCAGAAAAATTTTCGACGAAAATAAAGATTCCACCATTATTTTTGCCATGGTTGCTTCAATGTTCTTTTCATTTTTTTCTTCTTATTTACGTTAAACGCTGTTGTTATTTCGATTACATACGCGCTCTCTTTTGCATTCACATATCGGACGCGCTTTTCTTTTTCTCTTTTGTTCGGTGTTGGTTGTTTTGCGCCGAAAACACAGTTGAAAAGTGAACATTTTTCCAGACTGTGCATACAAACGAAGCAAACGCAAACAATTCAGCAGATCGCTGGATTCGATTCGTTTTTTGTTCATCTTTCTCTATCTCTCACTCACTCGCTCGCTCTCTCCGTTGTGTTCGTTTTGCATTTTTAGCTCTAGCATTACCATTGCCAATCGGATTTTGCTGTAATAGTGTGCCATTGTCGTTTGTCGTGAACGAGGAAAATTTTTTCTCGTCAGTATTAAAATATATATACCGCATGAATACGTGAAGAATGTCGCAAATGAACATATTTTCGTCGCTTTTAAAAAAGAGCACACACCGAAGAAGAAGGAGGAAAAAAAATTGGATGCATTAACACACAGCGGGAGTGGCATGAGCGTGGCGAAGAGCATAGCAGCCGAGCAAAAGTTTATTTTGGAATATTTTTCGCTTGGTTTTGGATTTTGCGATGGTGCAGTGTATAGTTTATTTCGTACATTCGAAAGAAAAAATAAGAAATATATATGCATATTTGCTTCTGAATGACATTTGCCATCAACATTTATTCATTCTTTATTTGCTCGTTTCGTTTACTCCGAAATACACACACACACACATACATACACAAAAATATGGCTTTCAAGACGAGTGCCGAGAGAGTGGGTGTTTGCTATCATTTTTCGGAACCGGAAAGAATATATATTCACAAAACGATGCTAATTCCGTTAAATTGACAAGCTGAATAAAAATGACATACTACAAACGAATAATCATTTTGGATTTTTGTATGTATTTTGTTTCTGTTGAAATACACAGAAAAAAAATGCCTTCGATTATTATGTGAATTTGATGTGAAAACCTAAACGACAAATTGACAGTGCAATCAAATCAGCCAATCCAATCGTTATTGCAATGGAATAATTTGTTTTTATGTGTATGTTGCCTGGCGAAAATAAAAACGCATCGACAAAAATACGACCAAATTCGAAAGAATCGTGTTCAGAATTTGCCAACCATACGATATGTCCAAAGTCAATAGAAATATTCCATTCTCACAATCGCACAATGGCACAATGGACGAATAGTTTTTGTGGTTTCGTCCAAACAATAGATGGAAAATTAAAAATCGACAGCAGGGAGGAGAGGACTTAGCGAGAACGTTAGCAGCGTTAGAGGCCAAAAGTAAACAGAATAAATTGTGTGGGATTCAAAGTGAATGGAGGAGTAGTCGACAGCCGGAAAATATGTATGACACAATAGCACGAGAATCCATCACAGAAATGCGTTTTGAGCTGTACTAAGACATGATAATGGCATTTGTTATTTGGGATGCGCTATGCCATCAACTGTTGCCGCACCAACTGCAATTTCCCTCTCGCTGTTGATATTTTTTATTCTCTCTCTGGCGAGCGTTGCTGCTTTGGCACGAGCCGATAGATGTTTTGTTTGGCCAGTGTGCACAAATAATCATTATTGACGTAATGGGCGACGACAACGGCGATCAACACCGACACACACACACAGCTCCCAGATGCACTGTGCATTTCGTACGAGTATACACGATTCAATAAAATATCCAGGAAAAGAAGCTCGAGGGAGCGATGTCAATATGTTGCGCTGTGTGCACATGAAACGACACACAATAAATCTTATTGTTTTCGGGTGGCAAACGTGCATTATCGGGTCTTGAATTAAAAACAACCATTCTACAGCTGCTGCGATGAGTGACATTCGTCCATTCCCATGACCGCCATCGTCGCCGTCGCTGCTGCCGCCGCCACTCTTTGACTGAATCCTTCGTACTGCAGCACGGGCATCGTTTGGTGTCTGTGTCTCTGTGACACAAAAGAACCCATCGAATGGTATTATGAGCATTCTCTCTGAATAAGGTCGATAAAAATGCAAACGATTTGTTTAAATCAAATGGCATAAAATTCCAGTGTCACTTGTATCCGTGTCTCGTTGTAAAAATGAATCAATTTTCACCACTGCAGAAAAGAATGCCGTGCACTTTGAGCCGCTACTTTGAAGTAAAAATGGTCTTTCTCATGTCAATTCAATTGTGAATGGCTTTCGTGTAAAGGTAACACAAAAATCGCCCTTCGGTCCAACATATGCCCAACACAAATTTTGGCATTCTTCGATTGTAGCACAACTTTGTACAGTTTCGGTGCATGCAATCCATTTACATTCCCCAGTATAATCAACATGAATTTTCAACCAACCATGCAGAACTTGTTTTGTCTCTGTGAATCAGACACTGAAAATCAGATACACGCTTGGTTGCAACAAAACTTGTGTATCGAATTCCAATCGAAACCAATTGGCTCTTCCTTCGATCCTCTTTTGCCATCCTTCGTTCCACAATGCTATTCCATTTTGGCTTCTTACTCTTTGTTTTGTCGTTGCCGTTGATGCGGTCGGTTTTTGACTTGGTTGCAGTTCGGCTCATGCATTCTGTGTGATGTGTCGAGTTTTGTTTATGTCGATGAATTTGGTTTGCATTTGACACCACACGTTTTTGGAAGGGGGAGGAGAGCGAAAGAATCAGCACAAAATTGAAGCAATCTGCTCGATATAAAACCGCACATATATCGATTGATTCAATCGGCATGGATTGGAGCTCTTAATGTATTCACTTTCATTGCTGATGCAAACACATTCATGTGAACGGAGCAGCGAAATCAAAAACATACAATCGAATGAATGGAACACACGAGTGAAAGAAATTCACAAACAAACAGCAAACAGATTTCGTTTTATTTATGGGACAAATGCAGTAATTTCTTGCTTTGTTTACCCTCATATTCCTTTCCATTTCTCTCTCGTCAACAGAAAAAACACCAAATACTGAGCATTGATTTCTCCATCGTTGCAATTGGTACACAAACATGCCAGTTTGAAAAGCCACAAGCACATTAACTTATTCATATCCATGGAACAATCGAATTTTCAATTTATATTGGAACGTTCTAATTAGAGGAGAGAATGTTTCGTACCAATTCGGTTCCCATTGAAACTGTGTGGAAGCGAATTAGCCAATCATTTGAAGTTGGCTAAAAAAATTTGATGTATGTATGCCAAAAAATACTTTCAAACAGCATGCGTTATGACCACACTGGTACTGTTCGAATTTGGCGTCGAAAAATGCAATGAATTTTTAATTAAGTCATGAAAATTTCAATGATTGGGAAACATGTTCTATCAAATCAATGGAGTTCTACACAATTTTCGCTTGGGAATTTGCAAAGCATTCACTAGATTCTTGAAAAACCCGTACAGTCCCACAAAAATTTTGCTACACTTAATTAGACGGCAAGTTGCGCACCTTCACAGATCATAAACAAGAATTTAATTGAATTTAAATTTGAAATTCATTTGAAATAATACGAAAACTTTCTCGAAAACCTTCTGAAGTATGTGGATTTAGTACGAAGAATTGTTTTGCTATGAAATTTAGTCTCAATCATTCAAATTCGTATGTTTCCATAGATATTTTCGTTGAATATATTTAGATTAAAATCAAATTTGTGTGTGCCAGTTATTCGAGAAGTGCATTGAAACCGATTGAATTATTATTCTTGTTCAAATT